CTTAGGCTTATAGATTCTGTGGGTCAGGAATTCAGACAGGGCACACTGGGGATGGTTTGTGTCTGTTCCCCAAAGCCAGGGCCAAACTTTCTGACACTATGTAACAAGGACCCTTTTTCTATGGCTTTAAATAACATCTTCCTTAGCTCCCTTCCAGCCCTCACTGCAGCCTACTTCAGGCCTTCTAGACTTCTGCTAACATTCTCCTTTAGGATCCCTCCCACCCTTGCTGCTTCACCTAGTCCTAAAGCCAATGCCACATAGCTTATTTCATGTTATTTTGTTATGTTTTGTTATGATATTCATGCTACTTCCAAGTAACAAAATCTGTACCAGTTACTATCGCCATGTAATAAACTGTTACTGTTTCTATGTAATAAACTTTCCCTCCCACCCCTAGAAGTCGGTAGTAGAAAAATAAAGAAAAAAGTCTGAAGTTACCTTTGGGGGGAAGTGCAAAAGAGAGAGAGGGGACATGACTGGTCAGTGAGGATAAGGTGGATGAACTTGAAGGCACTGAAGTTGTCCAGAACCACGAGGTCATCCTCCTAGCCACGGCTGGCTTTCTTTGGGCTTTCACTGTCAGGCCTGTGGCAAGAAACCCTCAGTATGAAAGCTGGTAAACTGCGGCACTGTTGTTGGAGCCTGTGATCAAGTACTGGCAGTAGTGTAAATGAGTGATGTAAAACAAAACCCATTTCATTATGCTCATAAGTTCTGTCGATCAAGATTTGGAAAGGGCAAGCGGAGATGGCTTGTCTCTGCTCATAATAGCTGCAGCCTAAACTGGGAAGACTCAAAGGCTGGAAGATAATCCATGGCTGGGGACTGGAATCTTTCCAAAAGCCCATTCACTTGCAGGTCTGACTGTAGGTGCTGGCTGCGGCTGGGACCTTATTTGGGGCTATTGGTCACATCTATACAATCATGGACCACAAAACAACATTTTGGTCAACAACAGAACAAATATACAACAGTTGTTCCATGAGATGAGTACCATATAGCCCAGGTGTATAGTACACTATACCATCTAGGTTTGTGTAAGTACACTCTATGATGTTCGCACAACAAAATTGCCTAATGATGCATTTCTCAGAATTCTTGTTGTTAAGGGAGGGATAATTGTTATGGTCTTCCTGTGTAGCTGTTTGAGCTTCCTCAGAGCATGGCAGCCGGGGTCCAAGAGCAAGCAAGAGAGAACCACAAAGAAACTGCATTGCTTTTGCGACCTTTCCTCAGAAGTCACCTGGATTCACTTCTGCTATAGCCATAAGCCAGCCCAGATTCAAGGGGAGGGAACAAAGATACATCCCCTAGATGGGAGGAGTATCAAAGTCACAACGTAAGAAGAGCTTGTGAGGTGGACAATATCGTTGCTGCCATTTCAGAAAAATAATTTGCCACACTGTCACATAACAAAAGCAGTAAGATGATCTATTACAAATGTAGAACATTCTGTGGTTACTGGGGATATGCCAAATCCTTTACAATAAAAAGCAAATAGCACAGATATCAGACGGTTAGAGACTAAGTCTGTGGAGACAAAGATCACTCTGTAAATCTGTCATGAGAATCTTAGGTTCAGAACTTGGGAGCCCCAAAGTCAACATCCATTTCTTCTTGAATAATTCTTCTGGAATTATTTTCCTCCACTTGAAGTATATCTTTTATAAACATTTTGGTTCATGGTAAATTTTCTCAGTTTTGGTTTATCTGAAAATATCTTCATTACATTCTCATTCTTGAATGCTTATTTATCTGGTTGAATAATTCTAGGTTGATGTTTCTTTAGAATTTTGGAAATACTTCATCAGTAATTTGAAAATACTATTTGCCATCTTCTACCTTTGATTTTTACACTGAGAGAGCTCCTTTCAGTCTAGTAATTTATTTGTAGGTATTTTGTCTCTGTTTGCTTTCAAGATATTTTTCTTGGTCGTCTGAAATTTCAGTATAATGTGTCTAGGTTTGGATTCCTTTTATTTCTTTAGTTTGGGATTCATGAGCTTCCTGAATCTGAGAGTTTTGTTTTTCATCAATTCTTGAAAATTTTTTGCTCTTATCTCTTAGAATGTTGCTTCTGCCCTCTTCAGTTCTTTGATGTTCCTGGTATGGTGTGGTTATTAGGCATTCTATCCCTATCATTCTATCTTCCTTGTTTATTACCTCCTGATCCATACTTTCCATCTCTTTGTTTCTCTGATCCTCATTCTGGGTAATTGCTACCTTCCAGTTTGCTTAATTCTTTCTTAAGCAGTGTCTAAGTGATATTAACCCACCTAGGGTGTGTTTTTTCCAATGATTAGTTTTGTATTTCTAGATCTTTTATTTAATTTTTCAAATCTAACAGATTTTTTTTTTGTATTTTCTTATTCTTTGCTCATGTTTTCTACTCCCTTATACATTTTTAAAACATTTTAGAAACATTTATTTTATATTCTTTATCCAATGACTTCAAAATCTGAAGCTTTCACTGCTGAGGCCAGGGTTCATTTCCCGACCAGCGAACAACACCACCTTTCTGTTGGTTGTCATACCGTCGCAGCTGCGTGTTGCGGTGATGCTGAAATCTACACCACCAGTATTTCAAATACCGGCAGGGTCGCCCATGGTAGACAGGTTTCAGAGAAGCTTCCAGACTAAGACAGATTAGGAAGAAGGACTTGGCCACCCGCTTCCAAAAACAATTGGCTGTGAAAACCCTATAAACAGCAGTGGAACATTGTCTGATACAGTGTCAGAAGGTGAGAGGATGGTGCAAAAAGTCCAGGCAGGGTTCTGCTCTGCTGTACACAGGGTCACTAAGAGTTGGAATTGACTCAACAGAGCTGACAACAAAATTAACTCATTTAAAACTATAAACACTACAATTGTTTTGTCCTAGTTTATCATTGATCTTTTAGATTCATTTTTGGTGACTTTTGCTGTATAGAAGTTTTTAATTTTTATGGCAATAAATTTTGTCCATTGTTTTCTTTATGGCTTTTGGGTTTTATGTCATGCTTATGAAACATCACATTGACTTTTCCAATATGCAAATCTGATCATTGCTACTATTTTGTTCTAAATTATATAGTAGCTGCCCATAGACTATAGGCTAAAATCCAAACTCTACAGAATGGCATAAGGCCTTCCTGATTTATTCCTCACTTAATAGCCAGCCCTTCTTTCCATTTTATGCCTCATTAGTAATGAGCTACTTAGAGTTCCCAGAATTCAGTCTTTTGCAAGTCTATGCGTATTTGTATACACTGTTTTCTCTGCTTCAAATGCTGTCTTCTTCCCTGACTCTCCCTTCCCTGTTCTTGTGCGTTCTCAAATACTTTCCTATGTTACATCTTTTACTGTCTTAGTACTAACTGCTTACTCATTACATTTATTACAATGCCAATATGCTAAATATTTTACATGCATTACGTCAATTATCCTCAAACAGTCCCATGAAGTAGGTATTGTTATTTCCATTTTCCAGATAAGGAACATGAAGTTAGTAAAGGTTAAGTAACTTTCTCACTATTAGGTATGTAGTACATGGAACCTCCAGGAAATGGGCCCAGGTTTACTTGATTTCAAAGTCCTACCAAATAACTACTATCCTATACAGAATAAATTTATAATACTTATATTAGCAATTCTCCAGCTTTTTGATCTCAGGACACTTTTGTACTTATAATTGAGAATGCTCCAAATATTTTGTTTATGTGGGATATATTTACTATGTTAAAAATTAAAACCAAAATGTAAAACAATATTTATTTATTTAAAAATAACAATAAGTCCATTACATGTTAATATAAATAACATATTTTAATGAAAACAAAAAAAAAAACACGTAGAGATAAAATTGTCATCTTTTGCATTATTGCCAATCTTTTCATGTCTGGCTTAAAGAAGCCAGCTAGATTCTTATTTCTGTTTCTGCTTTCAATTTGATGTACTATGTTGTGTTGGTTGAAGTATATAAAGAAAATCCAGTCTTCCACAGATTGTTACTGGAAATGGAAGGAATATTTTAATGGCTTTATCAGATAACTGTATATACTGTAGTCTTTCTTTATCTGAGAGGGATGCGTTCCATGACCCCTAGTGGATGCCTGAAACCATGGATAGTACTGAACTCTATATCTACTAAGTTTTTTCCTTTGCATAAATACGTAAGATAAAGTTTAATTTATAAACTAGGTACAGTAAGAGATTAACAATAACTAATAATAAAATAGAACAATCATAACAATAGACTGTAATAAAAGTTCTGTGAATCTGATCTCTCTCTCTCTCTTGCCTTTCTTCTTTTTGGGATGACGGGAGATGACAAAATGCCTATGTGATGAGATGAAGTCAGGTGAATAACGTAGGCATTGTGACACAGTGTTAGGCTACTATCGTCACAAGGAGGATTGTCTGCTTCTGGAACATGGTTGACTTCAGGTAACTGAAGCCATGGAAAGTGAAACCATGGATAAGGGGGGACCTCTGCATTCTTTTTTGATACTACACCAAAACCAAAAAAGTGGTAGTTTTTTTGTTAAAGATTTTGTTTTTCCTGTTCCTCCCCAAAGTGCCCCCAGTACATAGTTGTATATTTTAGTTGTGGCAGGTGGGATGCTGCCTCTTCATGGCTTGATGAGTGGTGCCACGTCCGTGCCCAGGATCCAAACCAGCAAAACCCTGGGCTGCTGAAGCAGAGTGCGCGGACTTAACCACTTGCCCACAGGGCCGGCCCCTAAGTGGTAGTTTTTCAAAAGTTAGTTGCAATATAAAATTCGAAATCATATCTATGAACTTTTTGTATGTTTTACACTCATGAGAGAATGAGAATGAAAAAGGTAAATAAACATCTTAGAATTACTATAAAATAACAGTTTGACACCAACGACCCCTTGACATGGTCTGGGGACACCCCATGTGTGGACCACACTTTGAGAACTGCTGCATTATGCATATATATAATATATATATATATCTCATTTAAACTGTATATTATCTGAGGACAAGTTTACCTCTTCTGTCTTTATACATGTACACCTGTGGCTGGTATAGCTGATTCTTGGTGGTCCCAGCTTGTGGGCTGTGTGTGCTTGGCTTCTGGGATTGCCTGCTGCTGAGTCCTCTGGCTCCCCAGTCCTCCTTTCAAGCCTTCACTTCCCTAGTACTTCTCTTGTACAACGTGTAATGTCTAATTACCTGTGGAATACAGGAATGCCCATATTATACAGAATATACCTCCCAATTATACAGTACTAATTTATTTTCCAAATTTTAATAACAGTTACTCCAAGAGCAAACTGGACACTTTTGGTATTACATACTTATGTGTCACTTATTTGAGAAAGAAATTTGATTCTTTACATATTTCATGGTAATAAGCTGGCACTTAATGTTTTTTTTCTTCTTAAACTAACATTTACTGATTACTTACTATGAGCCTGATACTTTTCTCAGTACTTCATGTATATTAGCTTATTTAGTCCACATGACAACTCTATGAGATAGTATTACTATCCTCATTTTTCAAATGTGGAAACTGAGTCATAGAAAGATTAAGTAAATTTTTCAAGGTGACACAATTGGTAGGTAGCAAAGCCAAGACATGAACTCAGATTCTCTTGGTTCTATAATCCTTGCTCCTAACCACTACACTACCACTGTCTATCTTGACTTAAACATTGTTTTCTTTTCTTATTCAAGCCACTTATTTTAATAAAGGTCCCTAATTCCCTTTTAAATCTAAAATTCTGTTTTCATAGATAACTTTCATAATAGACTTTTTTTATCCTTTTAATATTTCTTCATAGAGAAGAATACTAGCAGAAAAATACACTGGATAACACAAAAGTTATTAAAATGGATTTGGGATAATTAGCAGTTGAGAAATCTTTCCTGTCCAATTAACGCATATTTTTATCTAGGAATCCCAGAGCAGGAATCAGTTCTGACATCTCATTCCCATACTAGCCCCAAACTGCCTCCCTGGCTGTTATTCTTGATTGCTGAAGGCTCAGATTCTTGGTTGCTTCCCTCTCTTCTGAGGAGCTTCTTCCATCATCCTCCCCACCTCACGTCTACAACCAGGCCAAAGAGAAAGTCCCTCTAGTTCAATGATTCTCAAATTTTAGAAGCATCAGAACCACTTGGAGGGTTTGCTGAAACAGATTGTTGGGTCCCAAACCCAAACTTTCTGATTTGCTAAATATGGAGTGAGGCCTAAGAGTTTGAATTTCCCTAAGAGTCCAGGTGATGCTGAAGCTGCCGGTCTGAGGACCATACTTTGAGAACTATTGCCTTACTCAGTGCAATCTCTGCTTCTCAAGGCAGATTTAAAGGTGGTTATATGTTAAATAATTCATGTTAACAGTTACAAGGAAATATTGAAGGGATTACAAAACGTTACTGAGTCTTGGTCTTAGATGCTAGATGGTAAAAGGCCACCCACACTTTCATTCTCCCCAGTGCAAGGCTGGCCCCCACGTCCCACAGGCAACGAGGCAGAACCCTGTTTTTTCCTACTGTATAGGAGGGATGCAAGGATTGAACGAAATTAAGCTCTTAAGTGACACCTCAGTAAATGATGGCTACTTTCATTTCATTTCATATCATACCGCTAGTCGGCTACCTACTCAGTTCAGAGGGTCATATCCTTCAGGCTTATTAAAGGGCGGCGTGAGGAGAAACAGGCAACGGCGCCTGCGCAGCTCAAAAAACGAGGCTCCTCTCGGAGTCCGCGCGGAACCTCCGCAGCCAGGTGGACCACTCCGCAGCAGGGGGCGGAGACAGAGCTGCAGGTGGGCGTCTGCTTCCGGCCACGTGATCACAAGCACGCCCAATGGGGAAGCCTGACGTCACCCCCGCTTTCTCACCCTGGCAACGGGCGGGTGACTACTTCCGGTGCTGTGAGGGCTCCGGGCTGACGCGGGTGAGTGTCCCTGTTTCTCACGCTGTCCGCGCTGCTGCCGCTGTCGCGCCGCTCGTTTCCTCTGTTCGGGTCGCGTACGCTCGCTGGGACGTCCTCTCCCGGGCCGGGAGCGGGCGGCTCGCTGGATGCCCCTTCCTTGGGGCGGTGCTGAAGGAGGGGACATGGGACGTTTCTCCTCCCCTAGTCTATTCGCGCGTGGGGCCCCCTTCCCAGGCTTCCCTCGAGCTTGGCGGCCTCATTCCCTTTCGGGGGAAGGGACTGTCTGTGTGTGTGTGTGTGTGTGTGTGCGTGTGTGCGTGCGTGTGTGGTCCTCACATTCCTTCGCGCACTTCGCAGTCAGGGGCTGCACGTTTCTCCGAGTCCGAGGCTTGCAGAGACCCGAGGGTGTGCGCCCTAGTGCTGCGTGTCGGTTGGGGCCGCAGCAGCCCCGTGGTGTAGTAGAGGCCTGATTAGAAGTCCCGAGGGACGTTAGCATTTATTGATGGGTCGGAGGAGAAGGAGGAGGAAGGGACCAAGAAGATGGAGAAGGAGCAGTTGGAGAGGAGGGTGGAAAACAGGAGCTGGAGGGGCCCTGGAAATAGAGGGCATGGTGTTTCCGGAAGAATGGAGTTCAACTTGACTCGCCTCTGTAGGGGAGGGGAATGAAAGGTATTTTGGGGAGGCCCATGTGACAGAGATCATCGAATACTAAGCTATGGAATTTTTATACACTTGGGAATTTAATAACTTCCTTTTTTGTGTTAAATAAAGCTTTCCTTCCACTTATAAAAAGCAGTGCATGCTTAGTAAAGAATGTCTGGAAAATGCAGAAATAAGGAACGATCATCTATAGTTCCACCAACCTAGCATTTTGATCCTTTTATATTTTTTTATAGCATATTATTAACCTACTTATGATCATAGTGTATATGTATAAAAATATGATAACTAAAAGTCATAATATTTGTGCTTTGCATCCATTGCATGGGTAGATCATTGTTTTTGAGATATAATTCACAAACCATAAAATCCACCCTTTTAATTGTAAATTTCAGTGGTTTTTAGTATAGTCAGCAAGTTCTTCACCTATTACCACTATCTAATTCTAGAATATTTTCGTCACTTCCAAAAGAAACTCAGTATCTATTATAGTCACTCCCCATTAGATCTCCCCTCCCCTACTCCCTCTGCCCCTGGCAACCACTAATCTACTTTCTGTGTCTGTGGATTTTCTTATTCTAGACGTTTTATGTAAATGGAATAATATGCTATGTGGCCTTTTGTGTCTCCCTTCTTTCACTTAGCATAATGTTTTCAAGGTTCATCCATATTGTATTATGTGTCAGCACTACATTCCTTTTTATGGCTGAGTACTATTCTACTATGAATATGCCATATTTTCTTTATCCGTCATCAGTTGATGGTCATTTGGATTGTTTCCACTTTTTGACTATTAAGAATAATTCTGCTATAAACATCCAAGTACAAGTTTTTGTGTGGACATATGTTTTCAGTTCTGCTGGGTATATACCTAGAAATGGAATTGCTAGGTCATATGGTAACTGTTTAACTTTTTGAAGAACTGCCAGATATTTTCCAAAGTGGTCTGCACCAGCAGGATATGGGGGTTCTGATTTCTCCATATCTTTGCTAACAGTGTTATCTATCTTTTAAAAAAAATATTATATTTATTTTGAATTACTTTTTATTTTTTTGCTTGAGGAAGATTAGCCCTGAGGTGACATCTGTGCCAGTCCTCCTCTACTGTATATGTGGGTTGGCACCACAACATGGCTTGATGAGCAGTGTAAGTCTGTGCCTGGGATCCAGAAGCACAAACCTGGGCCACTAAAGTGGAGCGTGCAGAACTTTAACCACTCTGCCATGGGGCAGGCCTCTTACCCATTGTTTTGATTGTAGCCATACTATTGTTTGTGAAATGGTATCTCATTGTGCTTTTGATTTGCATTTCCTTGATGGCTGATAATGTTGAGCATCATTTCCTATGCTTGTTGGCCCTTTTTATATCTTTGGAGAATGTCCATTTAGTTCGTTTGCCTATTATTAAATTGAGTTGTTTTTTTATTTTAAAGTTGTATGAATTCTTTTTTTTTATTTTTTTATTTTTTTAATTTTTTTAAAGATTTTATTTTTCTCCCCAAAGCCCCCCGGTACATAGTTGTATATTTCGTTGTGGGTCCTTCTAGTTGTGGCATGTGGGACGCTGCCTCAGCGTGGTCTGATGAGCAGTGCCATGTCCGCACCCAGGATTCGAACCAACGAAACACTGGGCCGCCTGCAGCGGAGCGCGCGAACTTAACCACTCGGCCACGGGGCCAGCCCCTAAAGTTGTATGAATTCTTTAGGTAGTCTGGATACAAGTCCCTTATCAGATATATGATTTGCAGTATTTTTTACATTTTCTTCCATTTTGTGGGGTTTCTTTTTACTTTTTTGATAGTGGTTTTTGAAGTACAAAAGTTTGAAATTTTGATGAAGTCTAATTTATCTATATTTTCTTTGGTTGCTTGTGCTTTTGTTGTCATATCTAAAACCGTTTCCAAATCCAAGATCATGAATATTTATGATGATTTTTCTAAGAGTTTTATAGTTTTAACTCTTACTTTTAGGTCTTGATTTATGTAGAGTTAATTTTTCTATGTGGTGTGAGGAATCCAACCTCATTCTTTTGTGTGTGACTATCGAGTTTTTGTATCATCATTTGTTGAAAAGACTGTTATTTCCCTGTTGAATGGCCTTGGCACCCTTGACAAAAACTAATTGTAAATACGTGGGTTATCATTTTCTTGACTTTTTCCTCTGTGTTGGACATTTAGGTTGCTAGGACATTTAGAGTTTTTTTTTTTCTAAATTACCCTTTGTTAAACACAACATAAAAGACATAAAACCTTTTTCGTATTTAAAGTTATTTTGGTAGAAAGTGTTCTCAGAAGTGGAATTATTGGGTCAGACATGAATAAGTCTGTTTTGGAGCTCATTTAACGAGGCATTAAACCTTTAATGTCATGATGTTAAGAGCAACAAAATGCTTTATTCATTAGTTGCTATAGCTGAAGGGCTGGATTTCTGTAAAAGCCTTCTCCTGTAAGATGGATGGATTCCATGGCTTCCTTCCTCCTTCAGCTGCTTCTGGAAGACTAAGTAAAGCTAGAGTGAAAAACTTCAACACCAGCAGTAAACAGGACATGTGGCAGTGTTCTAAATGGTTTAAAGAAAAAAAAAAGATGGTGTCATCACATGCAGTAGGAAAATAAAACAATCTTTGAGAGAAACGGGTCAAGATTTAGATCTTAAATTGCTGTCGTGAAAGTCCCTGGAGCAAAAACAATGTTTTCTTCTGAGTTTCTCATCTGGCTTTGATAATCAAGTTAATTTACATTCATCTTGTTCTCAGAGATGGGTGACTTAAATCTTCTCTTTTTAGTAGATAGTACCCAGTAAAAAAAAAATTCAAATACAAAAGGTTATTAGGAGAAAGTCAAGTTTCTCTTTTATCCTTGCCCCTCAGTCTCCCAGTTCTCCTTAAAGGTATCCGTGGTACTGTCACTAGTGTCTGTATAGACTAGTTCATACATAGAGTATCTCTGGAGAAATAATATACGCCAAATTAGACATTGTAAGGCTCTTGATGCTTAGTAACAAATTTCTTTTCAAAATGGTTGTGTCAGTTTATGGTGACAGTACAGTGCTAGTTAGAATGATTTCATTTCTGTTTGTATTCCTTTGAATATTCTTTCCTTAAAGTTAGATATCCAGAGGGCCAGCCCCATGGTTAACGGTTAAGTTTGGTGTGCTCCACTTTGGCAGTCAGGGTTCGCAGGTTCAGATCCTGGGCATAGAACCTACACCACTCGTCAGCCATGCTGTGGTGGCATCCCACATACAAAATAGAGGAAGACTGGCACACATGTTAGCTCAGGGCTAATCTTCCTCAAGCAAAAAAAAGAAGATTGGCTATAGATGTTAGCTCAGGATGAATCTTCCTCACCAAAATAAATAAATAAATAAATAAATAAATTGGATATCCCATTTATATTTCCTCTTTGATATATTGTCTGCTCATGTCTTTTGGCATGCTGTTTGTCTTCATTGGAGTTGTCCTTTATGAGATTTATTTTAGCTGCCTGTTGTAGATGGTTGTTTTAAGGTAGCCTGGATTTGGGGAGAAAAGTTAAAATGCTTTTTGTAACATTTATGCTAAGAGGTGTGTGAGCTGAACAAGGGTCAAGGCAGTAGGGAAAAGGAAATTAAATGCTTGAGGGACAAACCTGTAGGATTTGGAAACTGGATGTAGTCCAAAATGACTTCAAGTTGACTTAGAAAGGGATGGTGCTATTGAGAAAAATAAGGAGTAGTGTTGAATGAACCATTGTCTCTGGGGACAGATGAGTTTGTTTTGGGTAGGCTAAGAGTGAGGAGGATCCGGGTTGAGCTGTCCAGGAGACTTGCAGCTAGAGCTTGAGAGGCAGAAGATAAAGAGTTAGGAATCATCTGAGTTATTGAAAGGATAGTTTTGAAAGGTTGGCAGTGGATGAAATTGCTCAAGGAGAAATTTGAGAATAGGTCCGTGGACAGGCTTTCTGGGAGTCATGGCAGAGGACAAAGTTGGGAGGGGTCAGAGGGGCCATGAAGAGCTAGGAGAGTAGATTAGCATGCTTGTGAAGGAGAGCAGGGGATCTGGAGAATCAAAGGTTGCAAGCAGAAATTAAGAAACTTGTTGACTTGGAAAAGATACATTTTATGGGTAAAGATACAGTTTATGGGAAGCCAGAAGTTTTTTTTTCCCCAAACAACTTTATTAAGATATAATTCATTTATCATATAATTTACCCACTTTAGATGTATAATTCAATGGTATTTAGTATATTCAGAATTGTGCAACTATCACCACAATTAATTTTAGAACATTTTTATTGCTCCCCAAGGAAACCCTACTCCATTGGCAGTCACTCCCCATTTCCCCTCCATCCTTCTGGTCCTAGGCAACCACTGATAGACTTTCTGCTTCTTTAGATTTGCCTGCTCTGGACATTTCATATAAATAGAAACATACAATATGTGGCCTTTTGAGTTTGACTTCTTTCATTGTGGTTAAGGTTCATTCATGCCATAGTATGTATCAGTACTTCATTCCTTTTTATGGCTAAATAATATTGCATTGTATAAATATACAGTAGTCCCCCGTTGTCTACAGTTTCACTTTTTGCAGTTTCTTTTAGCCTCAGTCAACTGCGGGGTTCAAAAACATTAAATAGAAAATTCCAGAAATAAGCAACTCATAGGTTTTAAATTGTGTGCTGTGCTGAGTACCACGATGAAATCTCACGCCATCCCTCTCCGTCCCGCCTGGGTCATGAATCATCCATTTGTCCTGCATATCCACGCTGTATATACTACCCTCCTGTTAGTCACTTAGTAACCACCTCGGTTATCAGATTGACTGTCACAGTATCACAGTGCTTGTGTTCAAGAACCGTTATTTTACTTAATAATGGCCCCAAAGTGCAAGAGTAGTGATGCTGGCAAAGTGATGCTGGATTTGCCAAAGAGAAGCTGTAAAGTGTTTCCTTTAAGTGAAAAGATGAAAATTCTTGACTTAGAGAAAAAAAATCATGTGCTGAGGTTGCTGAGATCTACGGTAAGAAGGACTCTTCTGGGGCCAGCCTGGTAGCGCAGCGGTTAAGTGCGCATGTTCTGCTTTGGCGGCCTGGGGTTCTCCGGTTTGGATCTCGGGTGCGGACATGGCACTACTTGGCAAGTCTTCCAGTGGTAGGTGTCCCACATATAAAGCAGAAGAAGTTGGGCATGGATGTTAGCTCAGGGGCAATCTTCCTCAAAAAAAGAAAAAGAAGCCCTCTTCTATCCATGAAATTGTGAAGAAGGAAAAAGAAATTCATGCAAGCTTTGCTGTTGCACTTCAAATATGTATGTATAGGAAAAAACACAGTCTATATAGAGTTCAGAACTGTCTGTGGTTTCAGGCATCCACTGGGGGTCTTGGAACATATCCTCTGTGGATAAGAAGGTGCTACTGTACCACATTTTCTTTAATCATGAGTTTATGGATATTTGAATTGTTTCTACTTTTTGACGTGTGAATAGGTCTTCTATAGACATTCATGTACAAGTTTTTGTGTGGACATATTCTCAGTTCTCTTGGGTATCCAGGCATACCTCATTTTATTGCACTTTGCAGATACTATGTTTTTATAAGATCTTCCACCAGCAAAAGGATTACAATTCACTGAAGGCTCAGATGATCGTTAGCAATTTTTAGCAATAAAGTTTTTTAAAAATAAGGTATGTGCATGTTTTTAGACGTAATGCTATCTCACTTAATAGACTACAGTATAGTATAAATCTATCTATTATATGCACTGGGAAACCAACAAATGTCTGTGACTCACTTTATTGTGATATTCACTTTATTGTGGTTGTCTGGAACCAAACCCACAACATCTCTGAGGTATGTCCTGTATTCCTAGGAGTGGAATTGCTGGGTCATATGCTAACTTTACGTTTAACTTTTCAAGCAGCTGTTGCAGAGGATGGACAAATTGCCAGTGAAGTGCATTTTAACATCATCACTAGTAGGAAATTGCAAAATGTCCATATTCAAGCATATTATTGAGAAATAAAGGTGTTATAAAAGATGATGTATACAATTGTTTTCTGTTGTGTAAAACTGTGACATGCTTATGCATCTCCTTTCATTGGAAACCTTTTGAGTTGAGTGTTACCTCAAAGCTTAGATGAAGAGTTAGACGTTTTTCTTGTGGATCAATGTACTGATGTAAGTATGTTTCATCAGTTTTAAATAGTGATTTGTAATAATGACTAAAACTGTGGTGAAAATATCACAGGGGTATTTGATGTTAATCTGTGGTCATGATTTATTTTTTACTCCTTAGTCTTAACTATAGAGATCAAATACTGTAATGTTTTTTTCTTTAAATTTGGATTGCCAGTAGTTTGTACAGCCCCAGAAGTTCAAGATCCAGAAAAACAAAAACAGAAAAGACCTTTTGGGCCAGTATTGCTGATTGGCCATATTTTTGTCTGTTCCTTCCTTAGGTGGAATGAGTGTTGAGAAGCTTCAGAATATGGCATTTCCTCTGATACTGTAGTTTTTTTTCCCCTGATACTGCAATTTTTAAGTAGGATCTCATAGGGTTACTTTATTTTGGTACTTGGACTTAGCTAGTTATCTTGTGTTCCCTTAAATAAATAGAAATTTTGTTGTAAGCAATACGTTCAGATTATTTAAAATCGAAAGGGACAAAATGGCGAACAGTGAAGTTTCCATCCCACCTTTGTCCATCCTTCCTCCAAATCTTCTTCTGCTGACCACTGTTATACCATTTTTTGATATATTCTTCCAGATTTGTACTTTGCATATATATTAGCTGTATTATTTTTTTCTCCCCTCCCTCAAAATATGGTACTGCATGTATTTCTGTATCATGCCTTTTATACTTAACCAAAATATCATCAAGATCAGTTATTCCATATTTGTATATCAAGAATGTTTTCATTTTTTCCAGTGGCTGCTTTTATTTTTAACCACTTCCATCAAGACATACTGTTGGTCCATTTCTTTCCTATTGTAGACAATCCTTGAGTGTGCATTTGTAATTTTGATCAGTTTTGCCAAGTTGCCCTTGTTGAGTTGTATTAATTTCTGCTGCTACTAGCAATATATGAGAACTCTTGTTTCTCTATACCCTCAAAACATGCTGTTGTCTTACTTTTTGATCTTTGCCAATCCAAATTAAAAAATGGTATTTGAATGTAGTTTTATTTTGCATTTTTCTTTTGAGTGAGGTTTAGTATCTTTTGATCCATTTAAACGGTTATATAATTTTTCTGTAAACTGGGATTTGCCCATTTGCCCTTTGTTTGCAGTTTTTTTAGTCATTTCTTGGAACTCTTTATTTATTAGGTAAGTTAGACCTTTAATGGGTTCTGAGTTAAACAGAAACTGGTGTTGGAGTAAAAGTTGCTCCATTTGTAATTGAATTAGAAACATTCCAGTAATCATGGAGAGTTGGAAGCCAGTGTTGCACATTGGATAGCCTGTCTGCTTGCGTTCCTTTCCCAGTTCAGCAGAACTTTGGGGCCAGCTTTTTGGAGGAGTTTATTGAGATGACATGGTTTGCTGAATAAATATATTTCAGATAGTTGCTGAGGAATGGTAGATTGCTCAAGAAATAACATATTAATTCATCTTCCACATTTTATTTTATTTAGATAAGCTTCAGAAATAATGTTTTTAAATCTCTCATATATATTAAAATGCCTATTACATCAAACCTTATTCATTATAAAATGTAGATGTTCTACTTATTTATGAAAAAATGCATCCGATGACAGTGAGTCAGAGTAGCTTGAAGTTTAATAATCCATACTGCTTGGATGTGTTTTCATTTGAACTGAAACTCCTGATTTTCTAAAGCCTGAGTTTTCAATCGACCTATGTTGATGGGGCTAGTAGGCCCAAACTCATTTCATGGCTGGGTCAGACATCATGGCCTGTATAGGCCGGAGATGAACTACTAATCATTTAAATTCCACTTTGTCAACTGACACATGAATAAATAGTAACCTATCTCAGAGAAATAACCAAAGTCAAATAAAGGTATTGAGGCAGATCTTTGTGAAGTCATTGGAAGAAAATCCATCCTTAGAAAGAGAGACACCACCACAAATCAAAAACAAAAACAGACATTTTAATTCACTGTTATTTAATCAACATCAGCACTCTTTCGTATTCAAAAATTGTTTTTCTACATTTATGGATATATGTAAACATTTTAATGTAATAGTGTGTGTGTATATATATATATATATTTTTTTTTTTTTGATTGGCACCTGGGCTAACAACTGTTGCCAATCTTTTTTTATTTTCTGCTTTATCTCCCCAACCCCCACCCCCCGTACACATTTGTATATCTTAGTTGCAGGTCCTTCTAGTTGTGGGATGTGGGATGCTGCCTCAACGTGGCCTGACGAGCGATGCCATGTCTGCGCCCAGGATCTGAACCCTGGGCCGCCACAGTGGAGCGTGCGAACTTAACCACTAGGCCATGGAGCCGGCCCCGCATATATATATTTTTGATTTAAAACTATTTGTCCTTTAAATGTTATTTAATAAAAATTGAATGGACTCTTTTTAACCAGGAATTAGAGTTAAAATACCATATTGCATTGCCTCTCAGACCATCTCTGGTGTAAAGGGCCAATTTAAAAAAATTTTCAATCCATTGTTGGCTTTTCCTTTTGTAAAATACAAAAGAAAAAAGCCTCCCAAAAACCCTTAAATATTGAACTGTGAGTGAAAGATAAAAATAAGAACTCAAATTTTTATTAGATTTAATAGAAAATAGTTTCAAAAATTAATTATAAACAAAACATGAGGAAATAGAAAAGAATTACAAAAACTATGTACATTGTTATATTAATTGTATTATATTAATCTATTAATAAAATAATAATTTCTTGCAGACTGGTAACAAACACTGTCTGCAGACCACACTTTGAGTAACACTGCTCTTCTGGACTAGGCTGCTAAGTTACTCTTTATGTTACTGTTTATGTTTTATATTGGGAAAAGATAGACTTGTGCCCCTTCCCATTTCTCACTTTAGAATAAGGTGCAGATTTTTACCTAACAGTGTGAATCTAGGTGTTTAAGTAGTTTCAACCGCCTGACTCTTGAATTTTCTTTAAATCTGTGTGTGTTGATTTTTAAAAGATCCGTTTTCCCTTGATCTGAAATGTCTTCTGCCATCATTATTTTTACTAAGCCAAGATTGCTAGAGGCTTGTGAGCTTGTAAGAAAAATTAGAAACTTTGTGGTATAAGTTGCTTGTAATCTGTTTTATTAAATTTTAATAAAATTTTATTTTATTAAATTTCATTTATCTGTTGAGAATCTCAGAAATAATGCTTTCATGAAAAGTAACAAGTATTTGCACGTGTTATTTTAATTTCTTGGTTTAGTCATATAATTTTGTTAGCATTTGTGTTTTCCAATTGAGCTGTGGGGCATTAAACAGTTTTTCTTAAGAGGTTCTTCACAGGCAGGTGTGAATCGGTATGTTGCTTCATTTCTTTAAGCAGCAATCTGTAGATCTTAATGTTCTCACCACAATGTATAATTTTACAAAAAATTGTAATCGTATAAGGTAATGGATGTGTTAACTGACCTTATTGTGGTGACCATTTTGCAGTATAAACATGTATCAAATCATCGCGTTGTATAACTTAAACTTACATAGTGTTATATATTGATTATATCTAAATAAAGCTGGAAAAAAAGTAAGCTGCAATCTAGGCTTTATATCAAGGCTTGGTGATATTGCCAGCACTGCCTGTGATTCTAGAATGTCCCAGAGATTATTAGCATTTGGTTTGGAGGGAGTAGAAAGTGATATTTAAGTCACATTGAGGTTTTCTTCAACGTTGATAAAAATCAAAGATAAAATATCTTTGGATTCCACACAAGGTCTTTTTACAACAGTTCTTTTGTTTATATTGCTTAAAGCAAGTACTGTTAGTGGACAGAGAAGTTTAAATTCTAACCTTTTTATATTCTTTGTATTACCCAGTTAAATAACTTTAAAATTATGTTTTTTGAAAGCTACCGTTGCATGATTTGTATAAGTTATATGTGTATTAGTGGAAAGAAATGCATACCGTCTTTGCCTGTTTTCCTTTAGGGTAATTCCTCTCCTGCAATTACTTTTGGATGGAAGTATGCACTTTTCCCAATAGAAGATGGTAATCTCGGAGAATGACCATGGAGAAGGGGATGAATTCTGGAGAAGGGCTGCCTTCCAGATCATCTCAAGTTTCGGCTATTAAAATAACAACCAAAGAGTTGGAAACAAAGCAGTCCCATAAAGAGAAGCGAGGGGGCTTTGTGTTGGTGCATGCAGGTAAGCCCTATGTGGGGGAGTCAGAAAATGAAAATAATGTTGATTTTTTTTTTTTTCTTGCCGTGAAGTACACTGAGAATTGAATTTCACATTTGGAGGAGGCAAGCTGCCGGAGAAGAGTTGGAACCAAAGAGATTGACTTTGATGTAGGGAGGGCCTCCCCTACTCCCTGCTGGGAAGATCTTACAGTTGCAGTTTTCCTATGCCTTCTTCAGTCCTCTACTGTGTTATTTACTTTTACCCAGTATAATAGATATATTTAAATAGTGTTAAAACCAGACAAGGTAATCTTTTAAACTCCGGTTTATGTTTTTAAAAATAATGCTGCAGAAAAAGTTTTGTTGACTCCATATTTGATTGTGGCCATCTTAGCGTATAATTACACAGCTTTAGAGCCAGTTTGCCTTCTTGGTATTATAAATGAGGAAACTTAGAACCAGAGAGATTCATGTGGCTAGTTTGTGCTAGAGCCAGGTTGAGAAACCCTTAGTGGGCCCGTAAGTCCCAGTGTAGTGTTTTTGGCAACATATCATGATGCCTGTATTCTCTCCTTCAGAGGACTTTGAGGACAGATGCAGTGAAGTTCAACCGCTGGGTCCCTCATCATTGAAGGGTCTTGGGTTTCGGAGCAGTGCAGCTCTGCCCAGATCTGCTCAGCAGCCTTTCTTTTCCTTTGGTCCGTTTTACTTGCCTGCATTCAGAATCTAAAGTGCGTGACCTCCGTGAAGGAAGAAGGAATGGCTAGGTCTGCTTTTAAGTTTCCTCACACAGTCAGGCCCGATGGGAGCAAGATTAACTTTGATATGGGGTAAGGAGTGAAATTGTATCTTCTTATCAAACTAACGTCCTGCCTGCTCATTAACCTTTTGCTACGTCTAGTTCGGACAACTTGAGAAGTCATACAGAATCTAATCCAGAAGAATCTAAAAAAAAAAAAAGTTCAATTTCCTGTTCTTTCAAATTATTTTTCAAAGAAATGAGGTAAATTTATAGAAATAACCCAGTTAGAAGTAAACCTGGGACCAGAACTCCTGCCTTGAGACTTCAGTCTTCTTTCTACTATACCATGTTGATGGTACACCTTTCATAGTACCTAGTGAGTTATTTTGTTCGGAATGAATATTTCAGAACTATACAAGACATGTCTGAAATTTGTAACCAGGAACAATATAGAGCTTTTGATTAGTTGGAAAGCATTGCTTTCATGACTGGCATGGTGGTATTGCTCCTCTCTCAGACACACACTTGATGGTAATGGCTCTTACATAAAGTTAGTGCTGGGGGTCAGCAGTAATAGGAGGAAATCTGGGTTATGGCAGGAAATTGCGTGGATTAAGGGTGACCCCCCTTCTAAATGATTAGAAGGTCAGATAAAGTGATTATGCAGAAGTATATATCTTGCTCATTAAAGGGTCAAAATTTCAATTCCTCATCCAATATAGAGATTTTAAAGCTGTTTTTATTTTTTTAGCACTAGAGGAGACTTGCCCAAATTTTACTCATTTGAATAGTAGGTTCTTGATTTTTCCCAGATCTGTATACTACCTATACTGTTTACCTAATATTAAAAAACTAAACACCTTTTAACCTGAACATTTTAAAGATGAAACCTGTCTTTACTTAAGTTAAATGTCGGTATCATTTCCATGGAGAAAAAATAACTTAGTGCAAACAAAACAATGTATTTAAATTTTAACTAGATCCTGTTGCATGTCAGTGACTTAGATCCTAAGCTTACCTTTCCTTTGATAAAGGAATTAGCAAGTGTTAACCAGATGTTAAAGATATACTGGAGCCACGGGGAAACTTTTTCTCTATTCCAAGCAGAAGGATTTACATGTTAATGCTATTAATGCTGTTATCTGGAAAGCTAAAGTTATCTATTTGGCAAGAGTGTCCTATGCTTTGGGAAACATTGCTGAAAGATTGCCATTGTTGTCCCCCCCCCCCCCCCCCATTAGAGATACCGTGAAGAAAGGCCTATTAAATATTGGTACAGGTTCTATGAAGTTTCAGAGTTTTCTTCAGAAACAGGATTAGAATTTAGGTATATTATGGATTCCTGTTCTAGGACATCTTTTCTGCTCTCTTGGGTCTCTTAACAATAGCTTCGTGTGCCAGTTCTTTCTCTACCTTGAGGATAGGTGGGTTAAGTTTGTGTCAGAATCTGCAGCCCTACATGAGGAGCCCTGAAGCTTAGAGATGTAGTTCTTTTTTTTCTTGGAGGAAGATCAGCTCTGAGCTAACATCTGCTGCCAATCCTTCTCTTTTGCTGAGGAAGACTGGCCCTGAGTTAACATCTGTGCCTATCTTCCTCTACTTTATATGTGGGATGCCTGCCATGGCATGGTTTGCCAAGCAGGGCACAGGTCTGCACCCGGGATCCGAACCGGCAAATCCCAGGCCGCCGAAGCGGAACATGTGCACTTAACCACTGTGCCACTGGGCTGACCCAGAGATGTAGTTCTTAACCTTCCTTACGTTGGACCCCTATGGGGCCTTGGTGGTGGGTTGGGAGGTGGTTCAGAACTCTGTTAAAGAACTTTAATTAGAAGCCTAATCATCACAAGAGTTTAAGGGCTTTAGTCTTGGTTGCTTTCTTATTTAGATTCTTCTCAAATCTCTAACTAAGCAAGTATTAATCCTTTTAGGGAAACAAATTTCAGATCCATTTCTCTTGAGGAAGTTGCTGGATGTTTGTTAAGAGACAAGGACCACCAGGATTTCTAATGGTCAGTCCTGAATATACCATCACTGAGGTTTCAGAGACACTCTGAGCTACATTCCAGGAGATGAGAAGATGTAAAGGTTTGGGTAGAGTGGTGGTATTGATGGTGGTTGTGGACAGGTGGACACCCCTCAACTTCAAATAGTATTTAGAAACTACCTAGTTTTCTGTAGTTACTCTTAAGAATTCTGGAGTCTGCACAGTAATTTCCCAAATGGCAGTGGCTTTCTAAAGGGTCAACAGAGAGGAAGTTCAAGGGACTCTGTCCCTGACACTGCCAGGGTTATCAACTCCAGACTAAAAAAGCTCCTGACTTTGGAGAGAGCTTTTCAAGAGGAGAGGTGACCTTGGTCAAGCCTCTTTGGGGGCATGAGCTGTTCTAGTGCCTCTGGCAGGAAAACAGCTTTCGAAAAAGGAGATAAGGCATGGTATTAAACAGGCTTATGATGGAGAAAGAAGCTATTAGATTTTTAAAACTCCATACAGTTAGGACAATAGTTTATTGTCACTAGAAGAGCATCAGTTTGTATGAACTATCTGTGTAATATAAGCAAGGTCTCTGATATTTTAATGATAACTAACAATTGGTTGGTATTTTCCACAACAGGTGCAGGTTATCATTCTGAATCCAAAGCCAAGGAGTATAAACATGTATGCAAACGAGCTTGTCAGAAGGTATGAAGAGAATGTGGATAACTGAAACATTTCACTTTTGGTGTAAAGCAGCTTTACCTTGAAATTCAAAATTTTGAGGTTTGACTTATAAGACAGTCTTTGTTTTGGACCACAAAATTATTTTGCTTTTATTTGTGAAGTCTTTTTTTGTTTTGTTTTGTGTTTTTTATTCTCCAAATGATGCTTAGTTAGATCTTTCCCTTCCTTTCCCAGATTAAAGTCTGTATTTTTTTTCTTTTTTTGTGGAAGAGTAGCCCTGAGCTAACATCTGCTGCCAATCCGCCTCTTTTTTGCTGAGGAAGATTGGCCCTGAGCTAACATCCATGCCCATCTTCTTCTACTTTATATGTAGGACACTTGCCACAGCACGGCTTGATAAGTGGTGCATAGGTCTGCACCTGGAATCTGAGCTGGTGAACCCTGGGCTGCTGAAGCAGAGTGTGTGAACCTGATCACTGCGCCACAGGCCAGCCCCTAAAGTCTGTATTTTTGGAATTGTGGGCACATAATCATATATTTTAAAATCTTTGCAAAGGTGTTGAGCTCTATAGAAGGGGTTGAGAAAAACAGCTCAAAGGCGGCCAATGTGTCTTTCTATGAAGGGAAGAAAAAAATAAAAAATTAAAATGGGTGGTTTTTTAGGGAGATTATCCTGTACTTTTTCCTTCTGTTTTTCATCACATAGTTTGTATCATAGCAAATTCATTGTCATCCCTGAGTTTAGCTTTGCCCTTGTACTTTTGTTGTGCTTTTGTCTCTTTGGTTTTTGAGGTTTTGCTAAATTGTTGAATACTTAATGTGGAGGCAGGAATGGACTCAGAAGAAAAACTGTTTGTTTTTATTTTGATCTTGACTATATACTCTTGTAGGCAAACCTTCCATTACTTTTTATGCAAATAGCATGTAAATTGGATATTGTATATCAGGTAAATATGGTTCTCTCTCAGCTCTTTTCATTTATATTTACATACCATTTAAAAGAAAGATTATACTTTATGAGAGATCTAAGCTTTTTCTTATGAATGAAATTCCATAAATGAATAAGAATATTTTGTCATTGTTTTTAAAAAATTTATAGTAAAGCTAAAAGTTTTCTAAGCTGTTTTATATTTTTTATCTTATTTTCAAATTGTGAAATCTCATTATCAAATGGAAAAGAAATACTGTTTTACTTTTATAGAAGGATAATCCTAGAAACCTAATACATTTGGAATGTATAATCAGCATCCTCAATTTATACAATGAATGAACTTCTTAAAAGTTTGATGAGGAAAACAGTTTTTAGTTTTTGAGCTTTCTTTTTGTTGACTAAACTGAAGCTTTAATAGTTCATTTAGAAATCAGTTTTCCTTCTCTCTCTTTCCTATCTTAACTTATACCCAAGAAGCAAGATGATTTTATAGACCTTTATTCTCTGTAGTTTATATTACAAAAGAATATGATTTATCTCAATATAAAATACATTATAGTATCAAAAATGCTTTTGTCATGTGTATGTGACCATCTAAGGGTTCTGAAATGCCTCTATGACTGAGAGTCACTGTTTTCTGTAGTATAGTAACAGTGGAGAAGACGTTGTTAGCTTAGTCTGGGATTCAATTATCTGTATAAAATATGAATTGGCAGGATATTTGAACCAAATTGAATTCATATAATTTCTATGGCTATTTTGAATTGCCCTGTGATGAATAAAGGCCTTTCACTTACTAAATTCCCTGCGCTTGCTTTGCATTTAGTGGCTAGATTTTATTCATTGTTTTAATTTGAATAATAGTAAGTGAGCTGTATCATCAGTTATTCTGAATATAAACGCTTACTTGTTTTAAATCTAAGTAGCTTATATCTTGAAGTATGGAATGGAACTAGTGATCAGTTTTTGTTAACTGTAAGTGTCTCCCACACATCTTTAAGCCTTTGGAAAGTTTCTGGGTGTGTTTGAGAAGTTTTAGTTTTACAATGAATAATCTCTCCCCTTGGTTTTGTAGGCAATTGAAAAGCTACAGGCTGGCGCTCTAGCAACAGATGCAGTGACTGCAGCTCTGGTGGAACTTGAGGTATTTCTTTTCTCTGTTTATGTTTTATTTAAAATAGTTGAGAGTTTATGTTCATTATTCTTCAGTGACTCGAAACTGTTGAGTTAGTCAACCATCAATTATATGACCAATGTTTCCTAGCAATATTGACAAAGTTATGAAGAATGCTGTGATATTGTTAGGCTTTTTTCATTGAAGACTTCTCTAAGTAATATAAAAATTCATTAAACTCCCTTTTCCCACTTTGTGAATTTCATGAATACAAAAGTTACTGGTGCCTGGATACTTAAATTCCCTCAGTATTTTCAATAGGAAAATTTCTTAACTCCCTCCAAAAGGAATATATGTTCCGTTGTTTAGAAAACAAAAAGTTCTGCTGTCTAGAAGTGTCTAAAGAGGAAGGGGCAGTTTCTTCACAAAGCTAACAGTTAAATATATATTCTGAGGCTATGTTCTGTGAAGTATGTCTTGTGCAGTGTAATTGTTGGCTGGTCTCCAGGTAACTGCAGACATTGAGGAATTCAGTGGGGAAGGCTCTCAAATTCATAATTCTTTGTACTCCAAAGGATCTCTCAGTTCTCTTATTCTGGAACCTTGAGGATGCGTTTCTTTTGAGGATATTGAAGCCTTCAGAAGACTCACTTCTGCTGCTCAACCTTAGAGAAGATAGATTTGTGTCAGTCAGTTTAGAGGATTATAAGGAACAAATAGTTTTCTGGTTGAGAAGAGTACTTGGGGCATCAAATAAGACATGAAGATAAAACAGTGATGAGTTTGAGGGAGGGGGTGATAGAGTAATAACTCTTCCCTTAGTGGCTGGTGGCTGGATTGTGGCCCTTTTGTTTAGGCTCTCTTATCAGTGCACCTACCCTGTCAGTCCAGGCCTTGCTTTTCCCTGTGAAAATTGCCCAAGAGTTTACCAAAAGTCCTAGCTGTGTTTTCTGCATTCCCCTACTTAATTGTGGAGCTACACTTTTTCTCATACTTTGTAGATTTTAACCTCCCCTGTCACTGCCTTCAGCTTGGTCCTAGTGCAGTCAAGGAAGGTGAACATATATGATGGACACCAGTTCTGTTGTAGTTTGGTCCCTGAGGCATCTGACTTGACATATGTGGTCCTCTCCTATCATGACCGATACATCTTATACCAACTCTACCAATCATTAGTCATGTGTCCCTGGGTACCTCACAGACTCTCCTTGACTCAGTTTTCCTATTTATAATATGCGGATAGTAATTCCTACTTAATTCTGAAGTTCTGAAGATTAACTGAGTTAACTTATGGCAATCACTTAGAACAGTGTGCGACACATGGTAAACACTCCTTAAATGTTAGTGATTATTACTATTATGAGGTGCTTTGGAAATGATATATATGAGGTGACTATTTATGGTAATTATTAATGACATGTTTTACAGTGTCAAGAAAAGGTTAATTATATATTGTGGATAAAAGGAGAAAAGTGACGTAAGAAAGCAGGTTGGTGTACTTACCACCAAATCTTACCTTTACTCAAAGCACGCACCTAAGGAAAACTTCATCCAACTTAATTCAATTATTAATTGAAATTACTCTCCTTTGTGCAGAAGATAATATCCTGAGATTTACTAGTGCATGGAGTCAGTGTGGGTCTGGGGAAAGAAGGTTAATGAGTAGCTGAGGGATAGACTATAATGGCAACCATGAATACAAAATTGAGTAAAATTGTTTTTCTTTTTCTTTTCATCTTAGAATAACTTTAAAAAGGTTAAAATTTAATTTTTCATCTTAGAATAACTTTGATAATCATGTTGACTGTTTCATTACATTTTCCCACAGTGATGAATCAATCTTACTTTTAGAGAGTTTACATATTTATACTTAAAAATGATTAAAAATACCTTTTGGAATAGTGAGCTTTATAATTTTGAATGATGACCTGTGTTTTTTAAGAGTGTAGATATGAAGTTCTTTTTTGAACAAACTTGTTCTAGTATCTTTGATTGAACTATGTTATGTGGATAATGGTAGTGTAGGAGGATCCTGGCCTGAGTGAGTTTAGTGTACTTCCCCCCTTTAATTGTTAAATTTGGGGAAGAATTTTAATTAATTATCATTAAAATTTTATTTTTATATGGAATGTTTGATTGAAATATATTTTAGTAGTTTAAAGGCCAAGGTACACTAAACTGAAAAAATTTTCCTAAGAATATTGTTGGAAGTCATGGTTATACTGCCCCCTGCGGTTTTAGTCACCTTGTGTTATTGTGATTCACCACCTAACAGGGTGAGGTTTTCAAATAAAAAGTTCAGTTGAAGAAGTATTGTAATAGTTTGGGTCAGTGGAAAGATATAAGAAAATTGGACTCTGTTGTTTTCTGTGTTTAAAAAAATACAGGTAACAATATCGAGTCTTTTCAGTCTGATAAAAAGTCCCACAGAGTCTGATTTATACTGTTTATGTTTGAGAGTAGCTACTTATCTTTAGTTTTGGTCAGTAGAGCTAAGTCTTGTCCTAATTATTGAATAGGTCTGGACAATCATCATACCTTTTCTTTTTGACTTTGGGATATGCTTTTTGACTAAGAAAAACTGTACTTTTTAAACTTACCTGTTACAGTACTGCTTAGGCAGATACTAAAATTGGTTTGAATTCCTTGAACACTTTACTAATGGTGGATGAAATGACTGAAATGGCTTAATAGTCCTTATTGGCTACAAAGGATATTTAGCTTTGTATTTTAAAAACTATGAAAATTTGCACTTACCCAAATGGTGAAAAGTACACTGATATCAACTCAGCGCCACAGAGGAGGAAGAAACAAGGTGAAAGAGAAAGAAATTTAAACACACACACACACACACACACACACACACTCACACACTTATGCAGGCCAACTAGACACATCATTTTTGAGCTTTTCTTGGAAATCAATTACCTTGTGTAGTTTCATCTTTTTTGGGTTACTGCTGCAGACAAATGGTGTCATCCTAAGACTACCACTTCTGGACACAAAGGGGGTGTTCCCTTCATTTAAATAAGGGAGGGAGGTGAGTTTGTAAGTTCCTGCTCATTAAACTGGCCAGCTTTTCCCTTGGCGATTCCCCTGTGAGGGGTGTCCTGCGGTGTGGAAATGAAAATGATATGGCTCCATAGCGAATTTTGTTTGTCTTCAAAATATGGGGAAGGGAATGGAAAGGTCGGTTTATAGATCATATTTTAATAATTTATTCTTAAATTGATTTGATCTCGTTTCATTTTTATTTATAGCTTTTTGGAGATTATCCTTATAACTGATGGGAAAGTGACTTCTATCCATTGGGTAGTACAACTCTGATTTCACGCTTAGTAGAGAAGATAAATATTGTGAAAGAATTTGATCCTCATATCTGGGGCTATACATGTGGAAGACAATTGTTTTCATGACTGCTTTTGAAATAGTTTTGGTTCAGATAGTGACAGTGGATTTTAGATTCTGGACCATAATTTTGCATGTTTCACATCGTATAGCTTCTGATATGAATTTCTTCTTTGAGGAAATTGGAGATAGTCATGATGGACTGGATGAGTAATGATGCCACTGCTAAAGTAGAAAGTCTTTCATAGATTGATAGAAAATGAACTATTCATAAAATACTTAGTAAAGTTCCCTTTGCACATCATATTTTTCTAAAAAACTATTAAGACCTTGTTTTAAAAGTTCTAATAAGGAATAATAGGTGAAATGTGAATGACAGACTTTTGAGAGGTTATTTGTAGTCTTGTGTGAGAAGATTAATGAATCTGACTGAGATTTTGAAGATCCTGGTGTAGCTTTTGAGACATTTTGGTCAATTCATTTTGGAAACTATTATTTTGGTAGGTAGAATACTGTGCTTTAAAAATAGTGATAGGTATAGCTTTTAAATTTCATGTAGTGAAAGGCAACTTGCACAGGCTCCTTTGTTAAAAATGTTTTGTTGGAATTAGGTTATGTTTAAGTGGATCCTGCAGTTCTTTTGTTGACTTGATTCATCTTTTAAGGCTCTCGGTGATCAGAGAAGATGGTAGTACATGGTTCAAACTAGTTTATTGTCCAAATGCTTTAGCATTTAAAGAGGAGATTACATTGGGTACAAATTTTTATATGACTGCTAAAATCAGTCCATTGTCTTTGGATCTCTATGTAATCCAATATAATGCTTGCTTATAAACTCTAGAAGAATCCTTTAAGAAGTAACTTCTTATCCAGATGACTGATAGTTTGGAGTATGAGAGAAAAAAAAGTAGGTATTTGCATTATTATATATTTATATTACTATATATAATATTGTTACACATTTATGTGTATCTCTACATCCTCTTATACCCAGAGCCAGCTCTACCTGCATTTCTTTAAAGCAGGGATCTCCAGTGTCATCACTGTTGAATAGTTTGTTATTGGTGGACCATAGCCCAGGTCCCTGTGCAGCTGCCACACCCCCTTCCCTTGGCTATATCCCTTGGCTGGAATTGTCTTGTGTGCCTCGGGGGAGGGCGAGCACCTGAGACCTGCCAGTCCTCGAAATACTTAGCGGTCATGGAGACGATGTGGCTTGCTTCTGGCATATGGGCATACCTAGGATGGAAGGGAACATTGCGAAGGGCTCATATACACACTTTTCTCTCACCAAACCTGGAGCAAGTTCACTGGTGGGATTTCTTTGTGAATTGGTGCTTAACCACACCCTGCTCCCTACCTGACTTCACTATTTTGTTTTTATTGCAAAAAAGTAGGATCATCTGCTTTACAGTCATTTCTCTTTATTTGTGAGGTTAAAAAATTATTTAAATAAATGAACATCTCCATTTTTCTAAACGTTTTGTTTTTCAGAAATCATCTTTTCATAAGCAGAGGGTAGCTGAGTATTTCAGTGGTTCCTTGCTTCCTCCACCTCTTTCTTCACGCGTAGTTTCCACACATTGGAAAGACTGCTTGATGCATTTAGCTCATGTATACACAAGTGCCCATTAACCATAATGTGACTGATGAGTGTAATTTTAGATCTACCACCCTTGGAA